CCCTTTCCTCTCTCTCTCTCTCGTCTCTTCTCTTTCCCTCTCCTCTTTTTTCGTTCAGTGTGCGCTGCTGCACGCCAACGAAATTATTTATTGGCGGACTTCTGGCACAAATTCCCTTTATCTCGATCTGCCTGGATCGGGATCACGAGTTTTTTTCCTCTTCTTTTTTTTTTTCTCTCTCGTTTCCTTCGATGTATATCACGTATTACGTACGAATGCGAGCGTGTTTTTCGGGGATCGATGCGTCTGTCGCATTTTAAATTTTACGATATCGTTTGAGATCACGATCTTTCACGTATTTGTATTCTAGGTTTAATAGTCTTTTGGAAATCGACGATTTTTTTCTTTTTTATTCTTGACCAAGAGTTGTCCAAAAAAAAAAAAATAAGTAATTACGTTTCGTGATTGGTCAAAGTGATTGGTCTGGAAAAAGCAGCAACAAGAATCAGAAGCTAGCGATATTTGAATTAGAAATACGAGCATAATAATAAGCTCATCATCTTTGAATGGAAAACTACAATTTCTCTACGATTTCTTCCCCGAAGCAATCGTATTTTTCACCTATTCTCATCGTGAAGGGACGAGAGGCAAGCGTATCGCCGCGCGCGTTAAACGCTTGTTGTAGCATGCTGCTACACACATATCGATATAGCCGGCTCCCGCCCGCGCACGCCTCTTTACACACCCCTCTCACGTCTAATACATCTTTCCCTTTTCTTTTGTTGTTTCAGTATTACGAGATGTCCTACGGGCTGAACGTGGAAATGCATAAACAGGTAAGCCTTCCATCTCGCCTTCATTTGAATTTCAAATCATCGAACCGCTCCGATAGATACCGGCCAATCGTGCATGCGTCTTCTACACGCTGTTTCCAACCACGCCGTATCGTACAATTTTCGATTAATCGTTTTTCTTCTTTTCACAGTTCTATCAATTATTCCACGCAAATTCGTATATAGAATCCTCGATATCGTTTTCGATACGCGTAAATATATATATATATACGAATATAAAAATGATTTATTTTCAACTCGATAACGTTCTCCCTCAAAACGACAGTAGGAATATTTGTAGAGTAAGTAGAAATTAAAAGTTACTAGAATAGAAATTCGGCGAAAACCGCCCTTCGTGAAACAGCCTGTACCCAGCTCGAATATATATACACGCACGCGTGTACGAGTGGTATTCGTCCCCTCTCGCCTGGGCGTTGAGATTACGCTCGCGTGCACCTGTTTTACACGCACGTGCACCGATAGCGCCGGTGTATAGTAATTACTTCGTTGACTTAACGGGCGCGATAGAGGCAGGCCGTGCCTTCGTCGAAATTTATGTTTTCATTCACGGCGCGAGCGCGACGAACGGCCAATATCCGTGCGCCGACTTGCTGATCCTCGCGCGTGACCCTTAATCCGAAATTAAAGGGACAGGAGGGGGAAGAGAGACGGACGACGATCTTCCTTCTTCCCCCTTGGGGGGGATCCTGCCCTATTGAATAAATATGTAAACAAGGTAATAACATGCAAATTGCAAGGGGGAAGGGACGGGGTTTCTTCCTGCGACCTTTGGCGACGAAGGAAAAAGCGGGGAGGACACCGGTCGACACCCTTTATTACGAATTATTGAGCGCATTGCCGCGTCCCTCTGGGATCGCGCGAACGAAATTCGCCTCGTGGATAGATTCGATTAATCCGGTGAGATTGGTTTAACCCTTCCTCGTGCAAACCTATTTTTTCTTTTTTTTATATATATCGGTGGAGGCTTTTTCGATGAGGTTTTTGAAATTGTTGTATTTTTTTTAACGAGAAGTTTGCTCGACGAGATATAATTTAAATAATGGCGAGGAGGGGTGTTCGAATGGGGTATTAATTGTTAATTTTGTTGCCGATTTGTTATTGCTATTGCGCTATGTTTGACTTGAATAATTTAATTGGGATAATCGTTTTATCGTTTTCGTGTTGTTAAACGATTAATTATTTCGCCGTATCACGGGATTTTTAAATTAACGAGGATGAGGAGAAAGATCGAAGAAAGAACGTTTCAAAAATGTATGGAAAAATTCAAGCATAATTTCTCGCCTTTGCCAAAGCCCGGGATCTGTCAACCGGGAGTTATCTGGGTCGTCCCCCAAATTTTTCCACTCCAATACTCGAAATAATCGTCCTCCATCCGATATCGGATTCGAGGTTATATCGTCGTCCCATCGCGTCGCCCGTTTCACGTCACATTTCACTGTTTGCACGGAAAAATTACATTTCTCACGAGTCCCTTTGACAGTGCTCACAGATTACGTCACTTCTTTGACCGTATCTTAACGGGATTTATCGCAAGAGCGGAAAGAAAAATGGCGCAAGGTTGCCGCCGCGGATATGTCTCTCTCTCTCTCTCTCACTCACATAATACTTTCCTAGGTTTGCCTGTTAATGGCCCCAGACCGATCTGTTTGCCGTGTAAACAGACAGAAATAGGATTGGAAGTGGTTCGTTTGATATCGAGAATTAACCCGGCGAGGGAGGGGAGAGGAGAAGAGAGCGGGCTGCTCTTCTCTCTCTCTCTCCCTCCCCCTCCCCTCTTCAATGCGATGCACCCCCGTCGAAAAAACACATTCTCGATATTAATAAAGAAAAAGTACCGTCACGGGATTTGCATCACAAAGATCTCTCCCCGCCGTGTTTTTCTTGCCCTTCCTCCTCCTCCTCCTCCTCCTCCCCCCCCTGTCCCTCACAACCCACATCCATATTCATCGCGGCGATCGGTCGATTTGAATTTCCCGTTTTCTCGTAGCTCGATCGTGACCGCCATTGTAAATATCCCGATTTTTCTCTCCTCGAGCGGCTCCCTCCTTCCCTCGTCTCGCCTCTCCTCCTCGAAGGAAAAAAGGAAGAGAGAGAGAGAGAGATGGGCGCGTACGATTCGCGTTAGTGGACCAAAAGCGGAACGCTTCCTTTTATTCGACATCGCGTCGATGCGGTCAACCGATATCGTCTTCGTCCGTCGTTTTTCCACAGGCGATTCGTTCATCGAGGATCGTGTACACGAAAATAGCATAACGGGTCGAGGATCGATTAGCAATAATAGATTATGTGTTTAGGAAAGAGAGATGTTTTCGTGAATCGTGATCATTGAAGCATTGAACTTGATCAGTCACAATGGTTTCTCACTTTCTAATGTCATCGTGATGTTATAGAGTATAAAGTTCACTGAAATTTTATCTATAATTTTATTATTGAACGTTGCTAGCACTGTTACTGTTCTGCAGTTGGCATCCTTTCGTTTATCTTCGATACGCGATCTTCTTCAGTTGTTGTACCGTAGCCTGTCAGCTAGATCCGTATATTTCTTATTTATTGTTCACCACTGCATAACCAACCAACAGAAATAATCGGCACGCGTAATATATTTGTATTAAGTCGTATCGTTCGATAATATTTCTTTGCACGCGAGAAGGGAAAAGGGGGGAACAGTTTTCTGCACACCTTGATCGCGAAGAATCTCGATTTTCGCGAGGGGATAAATAGCTGTTCCTCCATCGAGTTTCTTCCGCGCTAAACCTATTCGCCCGCCTTGTTCGCGATTTTTCTCGCGTTACCTCTTCACTCTACGCTCTTCTTCCAGTGAGCCAGCTTTCGCGTCGACGTGCCAGGAATAATGCTCCCGTTTATTGAATATTTAGCAGCCGCCCTCCCCGTTATTTCCTCCGCTTCCGGCGCCCTTCTTTCTGCCCCTTCGACCGGATGCACCACTCTCCTCCTCCCTTGGATCGTAAATCGGGCTTCGTGTCGGTTGTTGGGAAACCATCGTGGTCGTGAAAAACGTGAAGGATGAGATAACAACGACCGTGAAAATTCGCTCGAGATTATCAACGAATCTATCGATGGGTGAGGTGAATCGACACACGCTGCTTGAATTAATATCGATTGAACAATGAAACTATATAACGAATATAAAATAAGATATAAAACAGGATATTAATAAGACTGGTTACAAGTCTTTTTGCACACAATTATCTAGATTCTTTCTTATTTCAAATTCGTAGCTTTTACTCTCTCTCTCTGGCTTATAAAATTTCGCTGTAGAAATATTAATTTCTAATTGCGCGTTTCTTTTCGAAGATTCCAATTTTCGAATCTCTCTCACTAAAACGAACGACGAGGATTCGAGGGGGGAGGGGAAAAAACCGAAGAAGTTTCAAGTTTTATAGCGAGGGGGGGATACACGACTCCCTACGTGGAAAGACAAGTAGGCAGGATTTTTTTTCTTCTTCCCGCTGATAAATTCCTACGAGAGATTTACGCTCGAGCTTTATTTCGGCCAGGCGAAGTGGAACAAGGCCGTGAGGAATCGCTCGTGTCCGTCTTCTCGATTCGTCCCGGCCGTGATGAATCGGGTCGAACGATCGAATTTCCACTCTCGAGGCTCTCTCGATTCACGAAGAAGGAGGAGGAGAGGATCCCGGCGCGAAACCGAACGTTTTCACGGCGGCCACTCGCTGCGAACCGGTTACATCGGAATTATCGCGGCCGATATTCATTGTAAAATGTTGGACGGCCGTCAGATGCTGTTTACACGATCGTATTTCTCCGTCACAATTTCACGCGCGATCGCGTTTATAAAATTCAAAACCCACCCTTTCACCGTGGATTCCCTATATATGTTCTACCGAGAAATGATTAATCGTTTATGACGAGAGCCGTGCGTGTGAAGAAGAGAGAGAAAGAGAGATGCAAAAAAAAAAAGGAACGCGAAAAGGGGAGGAAAATTGGGAGCGGAAACGGGACGAAACGAGGAATGGAGAGTGTATATATATGTATACAGGGGTCGAAGGATATGGTGTGAGATGAGTAACAACTCTGACGACGCGAGAGGGTAAAATATCTGGGCGGGATACGCGGTGACGTTTCGAATCGAATTTATCGGGCGTGTATTAACGCGGTCGGCCGGTCGGTCAGTCTGGCAAGTGTCTGCGAATGGCGGTGTAAACGCGCTCGATTTCGCCCTGGATGTAATTAACGTCGGGTAATTCCCGACAATTACCGTCATCATCATCATCCATCAGACCGCAGTCGACCTGTTACGTTTTCCTGTTATATACCTGTACGATAATTGTCGTCTCGAATCACTGGTTTCGCATCGATGGACGGATTACACGCCCGCCGCTCGTTAAAAGGGAATGCGCGGGAGGGAAGGAGATGTTGGCCTGCCCTCGTCCACGTCTTAATAACATTCGCGCCCGAATTTTGGAGAGTCGAGTTTCGAAGGCACGAGATGAAAAGTTGTTAACGTCAGCGTGAAGCAAAGTCACGCGATGTTATTTACGTGCAAAAGAGTGTCTACAGAGTGTCTACGCGAAAATGATTCAAGACACGTATTTGAGAGATAAACTAAACTCCCTATTATTCGCGAATAATATATTTATTTCACTCTAGCTCGACACCTCGTTCGATTTGTAGAAATGGATCGTTATTCGAATAGATCGTGATCGAACTCGTTCGTCATTAATCGTTGTCAAATTACAACGGAAAATGTCGAGATACACCAACACGACAATATTCCATCCGTTCGTTTACCGTCGAATCGAATCGAATTTTCGCTCGATCATATCCCACTTTTTCCCATCCTCCTCCGTTTGTTGTTTTTTTCCTTTCCCCCATTTATCCAACGCCGGTGTTCCCCCTGCATCATCGGGTTCGTCCTTGTTGTTGTTGTTGTTGTTGTTGGCGTTGTACGCGTATTATCGCCGCTAAACGATCACCGCGTTTTTATTCGCGGCAAGCGACGC